CTTTGCAGTCAAAATCCGTGACCGCCGTGGTCAATACGCCGCGAAAAGTGGTGCCAACCTTATCACCACTACAACTGCCTACACAAAAACATTTGTGAGTAATACGCTCGCCCAAGAGAACAATTCTGTATACTCCTGATCCTATATGCTTACATCATAGTCTGAGTAGCGAGTATCTCGTAATCTAACGTGGTGTTAATCTCCAACGCCGCCACCACAAGGTCAACAAGGAATATAAAAAAGAACTATTCGCAAATATATACACGAGCAATTCCTAGGTTGCCCAGTTGCGATATCGGCAAATATGGTCACCATCTGTATCATTGCAACCACAGCTAACACCGCTAAAGCATTCACCAGGGTAATGACAAGGCGACCGATAAAACGGATATCAATGTAGTGCTAAGCTGTCCTCATTTGCATCAGCGACCACTGCCTTCACCACTGTCTACTCCATAGGTTAATGCCATCACTAGAACTACCGGTAGGGCGGCCAATGCACCCGACAATCCAATCGAGTTTATTTTGCCCATGTGTACTGCCTATTCTTATTTAACTCGTTCGAGAAAGTGGACAACACCGTCAACCGATGTTTCTGTAAATACGTCTGAATACAGCTTGCGTGGTCACATTATCTACTACAGAGGATGTACCAACATCTTCCGCTACTGCAACTGCAATTGCCACCTCTTGCAGATCGATTACTTGGTGCTAACACGTTCAAGAAGCCGATCGAGATTAGCATGTCCGCGAATATCTCCTGTGGGTCACATTCGCAAACGTGACGACCGTCTCCACCACTGTCATGGCCATTGCCACCACCAACACTATTGATTCTTTGGACTGAAGGAGGCCGCCACGTCCGCGAATAGCTCCTGCGTGACCACATTCGCAAAGTGGCGGCCTCCACCGACACTGCCAGCGTCATTGCCATTATCAGCACGATCGAGATCTTAATGGCAAACACACCCAAGAAGCGTATCGTTATTAGCACGTCCGTGAATAGATTCTGCGTTGCCATTCTTATCTGCCTCGTTTGTTTCTATTATTTTGGGTAGTGGTTGTGGCGTTGTATGTTGGTAGGCAATGTTTCCGGCCTTTTGTGAGTTGTTGTTTTGTCTGTGCTCAGGGTCTCGGTGAGTTGGTGCGGTTATTCTGGTTGGTGGGGTGGTTGTTGTGGCGATTGTTTGCGTGCTGGCGTAGGTGCTGATCGGTGCTATCGTCGGGCCTTGGTGTATGCCGTGCTTGGCTGTAGTCTGTGCATTGCTTCCCTGGGTTACGTGTTGTCTTTTCGCTTTTCGTTGTTGTGTTGGTGGTGGTGCTGCTCGTTTCGGTGGTTTGAGCTCCTGATGGCCACGCAGATTCTATTCACGGACGTGCTAATAACGATACGCTTCTTGGGTGTGTTTGCCATTAAGATCTCGATCGTGCTGATAATGGCAATGACGCTGGCAGTGTCGGTGGAGGCCGCCACTTTGCGAATGTGGTCACGCAGGAGCTATTCGCGGACGTGGCGGCCTCCTTCAGTCCAAAGAATCAATAGTGTTGGTGGTGGCAATGGCCATGACAGTGGTGGAGACGGTCGTCACGTTTGCGAATGTGACCCACAGGAGATATTCGCGGACATGCTAATCTCGATCGGCTTCTTGAACGTGTTAGCACCAAGTAATCGATCTGCAAGAGGTGGCAATTGCAGTTGCAGTAGCGGAAGATGTTGGTACATCCTCTGTAGTAGATAATGTGACCACGCAAGCTGTATTCAGACGTATTTACAGAAACATCGGTTGACGGTGTTGTCCACTTTCTCGAACGAGTTAAATAAGAATAGGCAGTACACATGGGCAAAATAAACTCGATTGGATTGTCGGGTGCATTGGCCGCCCTACCGGTAGTTCTAGTGGTGGCATTAACCTATGGAGTAGACAGTGGTGAAGGCAGTGGTCGCTGATGCAAATGAGGACAGCTTAGCACTACATTGATATCCGTTTTATCGGTCGCCTTGTCATTACCCTGGTGAATGCTTTAGCGGTGTTAGCTGTGGTTGCAATGATACAGATGGTGACCATATTTGCCGATATCGCAACTGGGCAACCTAGGAATTGCTCGTGTATATATTTGCGAATAGTTCTTTTTTATATTCCTTGTTGACCTTGTGGTGGCGGCGTTGGAGATTAACACCACGTTAGATTACGAGATACTCGCTACTCAGACTATGATGTAAGCATATAGGATCAGGAGTATACAGAATTGTTCTCTTGGGCGAGCGTATTACTCACAAATGTTTTTGTGTAGGCAGTTGTAGTGGTGATAAGGTTGGCACCACTTTTCGCGGCGTATTGACCACGGCGGTCACGGATTTTGACTGCAAAGGGCAAAGCAAATGCCGACAGGATGGACATCGATGAGTCGTCAGCAATGTTCTTGGTGGATAGAACACCGCGACAATTTCTTCGTGTATTTTGTTGGTATCATCTCCACGGCTATTATTGTCGAAATAGCGATAGTACATATTCAGTATCTCTCTTCTCCAGATAAACTGCTGGGCGAACGAAGAAACATAATTTATTCTCTTGTATCTATTTAGGGTAGACTCCGATTCTACTGTAACAATATCTGAAAACAATTGTAATCCTAGAATTTACCAAATGTACGGATAAAACAGTATATACCGGTAGTTTACAGTGGTGCCAAAATGACCTGGGCGTTGGAAGCCTCATTTCTCAAAATTTGCAATGGAGCATCAATTGGAGCAGCTACTTCGAAGCAGAATTGGACCCCCACTAAGCATATTGCCTGGCTGTCACAGGCGCACGGTAACGCCTTTTTGGATATGTGCTATCATCAATATATTTTACCTAACAGTCTAGTTGTAGACATTCAGATGTCGACGATGGAGAGCGTGGAACCTAGCGTCCTGTAACAACGTCGACTATTGCGTGGAGCAACTCGACCTCGACGAGATGAAGAGATTCATCGGAGAGCAATCGAAAAGAGGACAAAAAGACGCGGCCATCGGGCAAGTTGGGAGGCATGTAGCGAAGTCGTTCGTAGATTCGAAGGTAGGGTTTGAGTAGTGTAATATTTCTGACACCTTACTGACATGGAATGGTATAGCTGTGTAGAACGATGGTAATCTTGAGAAAGGATAACGTATTGAATCGGCAGGCGGCTGTTTATTCTTCAAAACAAAGGCATTCTTGAGGCCAGCGACTCCGGACTTCCGAGCAAAAACTATTGCACGCGCAATATACAAGCTTTAACGAGTATGGTCCGAAGAATCCAGCAATTGCTAGCCTGGATCGAGAAGGCCGACGAGATGGGCTTTTACGATCAATTTGGTGGTGGGCTCGACCCGTCGAATGCTATCACAATGACTGGTGCTGGGAGCGTCACCAATTGCAATTCCCTCACTGGACATGTGAATGCTGTGGCACGCACGACACTCCAGCACAGAAGCGACTCCGAAAGAGAAAGCGCAAATAAAGCCAATAATGTATAGGTGAGCCTTCATGAAAGAAAGGTATCCCAGTCGAATACATGGTAGGTTTTAGACGTGCGTGTTTGTAACCACGTCTGGCACAAAGCGACAATTCAATCCCCACTCATATGCACTGAAATAGGTTATGCTATCACTTCGTATACCCTTCCTGAGTGTACACGTTTGAAACTAGATACACTAATTCGCAGACATGTATCGGTTGTATTCCATAATGGAGGCTTTGATATTTTTTTCACCGCCATTAAAACCGCCACAAATCTGTCAAATTGCTGAAAAACAATGCTGTTCAACAAATCTGTTATGCTCAGTTTTCAGTACGTGGTGTCAAGGTGGACATGCTCCTCGAAGTAGTGACGATTATAGCCAGGCCTAGTCGTAGATAACACGCTCGGGAAGTGGCTACTAATCAACATGTCTACCTGCAATGCTTGGGTAGTCTCATTGGCCACCATGGCGATTGTGACCATGTACTCCGCCACTACTATCGCCATTACCGCAACAAAACGACCTTCTTGGATCACACGCTCGAGAAGCGGAAAGTGTTCAATATCTGTAGTTCATCATGAGATAAACAAGGCAAATAATACAACCTAAAGACACCATACCACAAATACCGACCCACATCCTGTTACCGGTTAAGTATCGACCACGTTGAAGTCTATGTTGAAGTGGGATGGTTTTGATATGGCAGGAACATGAAGGCCACCACTCATCATGTGTTGCTCGAGCCTAATATCCAGTGGTAGTGCCACGCTCGTCGTCAGAATTGGAGGTAGTGCAACCCTAGCGCGCATGTCCTCAGCATTGAAACGATCAATCCAACCGCGCACGCGGGCGCATTCCGCCAACCAGGATTCAGATTTTCTAGCTCTGAGTTGCAATTGGTGGAATCTTTCAAATGAACGTCTTATTCGCTGTATTTAAAATTTCAAAGAGTAGCGCGCGAAACTACTACACCGCTTTATGGTAGCAGCATCCGCTGCGCCAAATTTGCGCGTGACATGATTCTCACTTCTCAATTTGCCACCAACAAAAACTTCATCTTGGCACTATTCTGCATTGCAAGTCGGTGCCGCTGCGAGATGGCTAACTAGCACCGTTCCACCACGTACATGCACGGCGTGCCAACCAGCATCGCGCCCACTTCGTTCACGACAATCGACCGACTAAAACTCTACTGATGCATGTCCGTGACCAAGATCGAGCTTCCTGGTTTATACTACGGAAATCGGTGATGCCCACCCTTATGGCCACATGCCAGACCCGACACCACTTCCCGTGTTTATCGGCCTCACATGGTGCCGATTCATGTCTGTTGGCACACCAAGCTGCGCTGACCACACTAAATTGAAGTTCTCGTTCGTCGTGGCGGCGTCCTGCCGCGTTACGTCTCGTTTTCGAGCGCGCTCCCTACTGCTGTGACTACACTACGTTGTGTTCAGCGTTTGTGAAGCTGCCTACGACTCTATACGTCATGCCCGCGATCGTCGCCGAGTCCTGTCCTCTTGCCAAACTACATTCGCGGTGTTGACCAAGTTGACATCGTCGCTGTACCTTAACGATTTGGTGGCTGTGACCACCTCACTAATCGTACACGTTATCACACACCAAAAGTAGGACACACAGCACAAAGTTGAAATGCATCTCGACTTTGTGAACAATCCGTGCCCAAGGACGTGTATTAGCAGCTGAATGCCGACATTATCGACTCTATTCGGCTTTGTTGGGTGTCTACGTTGATTACCATAGCACTTCACTACTACGAAATAATTCGAGTACATTGTCGGACTCGCGCTCGGCGAACCTGTGTGTATTTCTACGTCCCCGTCGCCACACAATCCGCAGTTCAAGCGATGCTTATGGAGCTCAATGTGTCGCTATGCGCCGGGCTGTGTGACGAGCCAACGATTACACTCAGATCTTTCCGTTACATTCACAGGACTATTACCGTGGTCTTATTCAAAGAACAGTCGAATATCTAGTTAACATAGATCTACCACAATAAGAATTTGAATTCGTAATTTTTTTGCTTAGTTGTCCTGTTCCATTATATATACGTAAACAAAGGCTAATAACCAATCATAGCTTTGATAAAATATGCGAGTCTTCGTGGTAAATGTTGATCGTTTGGATAGGTTTGTATCATACTCATAGGTACCACTGATAGCGCAATGAGTAGTACGTGTTTTCTCAACAATGAAACAAATTACTTCAAACAACAGTAACTAATCATTGTGGATTTGTTCCAGTTTTGATCAAGTGAGCTAATGGACGACAACTCGCTGCCCCCCGAGGCTGGAAACGAGCAAGTAACCGGCGAGGCACCCTTAGCGACAGAGGGTGACGAATTTGAGGAGCCAATCGTCGGTTCCATCGACACTTCTGACTGGTATTCGACGGAGGATGAAGCGACAAGTAAATCGACGCTGCGTTCTACTACCAGTTCGACAGCTAACGGGTACATAGCTGCATTTAAGGTCTCGAGTGGCCTCCATCTTGTAGACGAGGAAGAAACTAAACGAGCATACAGAAACCATGGTGAACTTGGTCTGTTTTCGCTATTTATAACTCAAGAATTCAAACGATCTTTGCGACAATGGACAAACGAGGCTTTGAGCATACGTGGATTGGCTTCTACCACCATTGCTGATTTCGACGCGTATTTGGGTCTCGAGTTTGCTATGAGCATATGCCCTTTGAACGAGATTAGCGATTTCTGGAGTGAAAAGCGATTCCTTGGCCAGCACGACTTCGTCGAGACGATGGGGCGCACGAGGTTTCAGAATATCCGCAGCAGTCTCAAAATCCACCCACCAACACCTCCCTCACGTGCGAGTCCAAGATCAACTAAATGGAGGTGGTGGCACTCAACTTCCTTTATCATCAGCAGTTTCTCTGCAACTGCATCGATCAATGCAAGCCCTGCCGGCTCGGCCGGCCGTTCAAGATGGCTCGAATGGTGTAGTAGATGCTGCTGGTGATAACTATAGCACTACGACTACGACTTCACCTTCGGAATATGACACAAGTCGCGACCCGCTTTGGCATAGCCGAATATTACTGCGGCACATACAGCGAAAGTTCGCCGATGTGGCCATTCCATACGGCGTGAGTAGTTTAGACGAAAACAGCATTCGTACTAAAGCCCGTACTGCTGCGAAGTCATTCATTCCTACGAAGCCTGACAAAAATGCAATCAGGTTTTATGCAGTCGTCGGATGGGAGTCATTGTGTCAGAGAAGTCGCGTAGTAGCTTGATCCAGGTGCTGAAAGCAACGGTTTTGTCTAGCTCACTGCAGTTATATAACGCATATGCTGGCTTCATCCATTTATCATGGTCATTGAACCACTCCCGCGGTAAGAGTTTAATGAGATCGCAGTACTTTTGGCTGATTTCAATATCGAGTTGCCGATCGCCAATCATTTCAACATTTGACCTATCTAATATAGGACTCATGGTACAAGTATTCTTCTTTCACTGATAGAGAGCTTCATATAGCTCTTCGGGCATATCAATTGGTTCTGCGTCATTCACAACTTCATAACGTTCACCAGCAAACACATACCCATTATCGTTTCTGACATCAACGCCTGGTAAAACGTTGGCAGATGTCTTGAATCGCTCATCGTATTTGAAGTAATAATGATATCCACCACTGCAAGTCCTCACCTTGTATGTATGGTAGTCATCGAGATCAATATCAACATCAAGTAGGGAATCCACCCTGTTTTTATTCTTTTTGATATCAACATCAATCACAGTAATCACAGATCGTTTGCCAGTTTGTATACCCCAATTCTTGGATTTTCCAATTGCTTGGCATTTGGAGAGCTTTTGCCAGCCACTTGGCATCGATACTACATTCTTAGATCCGTCGCTATTGAAATGAAACTTCACAATGAACTTATTAACCCTTTCGTTACCAGAAGGTTACATGAGGTATCATTTCACATCGGCCATACAGAAATCAAGACAGCTTATCGTCACATTTGTACCACCACCTGAACCGTCGCGGCCAATCACAGTGGTGAAACCCATGCAATTGCATTCTGTTCCATGCTCTATGCGACTTTCACAACTTCTTCCTAATGTGTCTCATAGGGTACTGTACTCAAGACCAAATCTGATTCAACTTCGTCAATTACGAGCCGGTGCCGTCGACCCAAGAGACTTCTACCCTAGACGACCACGCCGCCTCCGTGAGCTCGCGAGCGCGATCCCCACCCGACAGCGTGGACAGCATTCTCTAAATAAACGAGTGCCAGTCGCGCTCAAGTTTCTGCGCTCATGTGACGAAAGATCTACAGCTCGTATCGTTTGGAACTTCGCGGGGACACCATCGCGCCGTCACCTTGAAAGAATTTTTTTCTAAGCGTCTGCAAGAGCAATAAAATGGCGGAGTCTTTAAAGCTCAATCATGACCTGGGAGACTGTAGACAGTGTGGTGGGAATTCGCAGGACATTATACGGGAATACCATTATACCTCGCTCTTCGACAAACAGCATGTGGTGGACGCCAGGAGAGAATCGCGTACATGTCGACCGACTCTGTGGCTACTACAAGGCTGAAGCAGCTTCAAGGTGAAATATACTCTTCGTGCAATCCGTTAGGCAAGCTGAATACACTACCTTAGTTGTGTATCGACACCAAGACGCAGAGGAGAGAACATTCAGCAACCCGAAGAGGCCGCGGTTATGCCTGCACCGGTAGTGAAAACAAAGCAATGAGGACTGCCGTATGAAGAACGACGTTCCCAGGAACAACAAACCGAAGCAGCTCGACTATTAAACCTCTTTTTTCTGCGAGAATGCATTCCTTTTTACATACTGATCAAGCTGCCTAAAAGTTCTCACATGCCACCGCACCCGTATGGTCGATCACAATCAACTGACACTTGGGATCCTGCTGAATGGTATAAATTACAAGGCGATACCGTTCGGACAAACGAATCTGCTGTACGTCACTTTCAAGAACCGGTCGCTGTGGAGAATTTTATGACAAAGAACAACAATTACATTCAACTGCTATGTACGCGTTATTCGTTGATTCTGCGCTTGTTTTTCTCTTGGTGAAGCTCTTTCAAGAACGTAAACTGAGCTTTATAAATCGATGAGGATCTTTTCAGATTCCCGTTGACAGTGTAAACTTGTTTCGGTAAATAGAAACAATGAAACATCTGCCAGCACGTCCAGTCTTCCTGTTGACAGAGGTGAGGCTATGTACCGTCAACTGGATACGTCCGCTTACAGAGAGCCACTTTGTGTGTCTCGCAGTTATCCGTTTTTTGAGTGGGGTATCTATCCTCGAATTTGCAAATGGTGCATTTGCGCTTCGCTCTGCTTTTGTCATTTAGTGCAATAAATGCCTCCTTTGCAGTGCAAACCAACGGCATCGCAATCGGGTTGTCGTTTTTTCTTTCAACTGGAGAAAGTATGACTACCGTCGTCGGTGCTGGGGTTAGCGCGAACACCATACCATCCGTACTGTCAATGGACTTCTTCCAGCCTCCGTTAAGAAGCTCTCGAACGAGCGATCTTACAAACGCTCGATGTTTGTCTCGCTCACCTAACCTTGATGTATCATCACTATTCTGAGTGAAGTCGCTCCTGCCGCATGCTAAAGTATGACACACGTATGCGTTGCACCTTGCTATGTCAATAATAGCCATAGACAATTTCTTGTGCCATTTTTGAAAGGAGTGGCCATCGGCAAGGGAGAAGCGACCGCGAAGTTGATCGAGGCGGTCGACACCTTGCATCGCCGCGTTGTATTCTGGAATGCAAGTCGGGGCAGAAAACGCGACCTTCGAGTCCTTGATTCGACGGTAGACGGTGGATGATGTAGACGCATCTGCATTGGACACTACGTTGACAATCGACCCGTCGACTTAACTTGCAGCAACTATATGTTTTTCCAAACACACGCCTTGTTTCGAGAATCCCCTGGGTTTTCCATCTTTTTTCTTTATCATTGTGAAGCGGGGAAAATGTTGGTTTGAGGAGCGAACAGTGCCACGGCTGTACAAACCGACCGACCTCAAGCTTTCCAGTAATTGGCAGGAAGGGCAAATTGACCGGTGACTTTTGTCCTAAGAGGGTTGTCGCGGCTTGCCGTTAATTTCCCGTCAGACAATTGAAGGTAATCTACGCACTTTGAACCTATGCTTATGGAGACGCGTATACTAACTGGAAATTGTTATGTTTATGCCTTGAGCGCACCACCGTAGCTTAATGGAAAAACTCCCGAAAGGGAAGAAGGGGGTTCGATTCCTCCCGGTGGTATTATTACTACCAGTATTATATGTATTTATATTTTTTTCAGGTCTACTACATTACTGAAATGAATTAAAGCCTGCGTAACCCCATGATCGTGGGTGGTAGATGAGCTGTACTGTTGGTACTATCTTCCTCAAGAAGCGCTTGAAAAGAAAAAGTGGGTGGATCGTCGTTGCTTGCTCGGTTGTCTCTCTCGAACCACGACGGCTCTCGACGAGTGCTGCTTGATTTATATCCAGCAATATGAGGCCTTTGATGGTTGGCCGATCCGCGCTTGTTGTTCAAGGTGACCGGTTCTAGAACCCGAAACTGTAAGCGTGTATCATTTGAAAGCACCCACCAATGTCTATCAAAGTGCTCAGGTAAGATCTTCAGCTGTCGATTTGACTCGTAAATATCCACTAATTCATGAATGCATGGCCTGCCATGCGTCCGCCGAAATACACCTGAACATTGGGTTTGTTTGCCTCCACTAGTAACAAGATTGCGAGCTGCTTTCTAGAGTTTGTCCGTCTCGGTGAGAGCATACGTTGAGATCAACCGGATCACTGCTGAATACTGATCATAACGCAGTCTGTGTGGTGGTATTGTAGCATCTTTTGTAGACTGGTAGCTGATCGCCTTGGCCGCAGCGCTCCACCAGGGTAAAAGTTTCACAAACACGGTTAGCAGATCACCTTTTGACGTTTCGAGCTATCGGTTTATCTTAGCGTGGGTTTCTTCTACCGTCGACGTGTCGTGACATCCAAAGTTGCGCGTATCGGTCCGTCCAGCATTTGACGATCCGGGTTTTGTATTTCCACCAGGTACGCAGTAGGTGATCTGCGGTAACACTGCTTAGATTGCGAAGAGCAGTACAATGTTGTTCAAACTCTGTTGTGGTTTTCGAAGCGATCGCCTCATAATACCTTGCCATGAAGACGTCGGGCTCTACTGAGTTTTGTTTCATCTCTCCATTTGGACCAGGATGTGAGAGTCGCACAGTCCCAAGATCGTCTTGAACACGTGCAAGAACGTTGCGGTTGACTTGCCAGCGGCACAATATCTTTGGTACATCAGGAAATACGGTATCACTTGCATTCATACACGCCAGGTCTCGATCTGTTGCAAATTGCCGGGGTAACGGGATAGTATTGTCTCTGAGTAGTGACTTAAGTTGAGTGAATGCCCATGTGTAATTAGGCTCAGCTTTTCCGGGTAACCAGCACTGAGCGAGCGGGAGTACCTTGTTGAACCCGGTGAGGACGATGATGTTGCATAAAGGCCAATTGTGCTTGTTCGTTTTGTACGTACAGTCAACAACTACAACACCCATGTAGTGTTGGGCAAGTTTCACCTCGACGTCTTTCGGCGGAGCCCGTGTCAACTCCCGGAGCTGACACGCCGACATC